GATGGATGCTCAGAGAACTGAGAGCTCTGGGGGCTGCAAAGGAGGAAGCACGGGGAGTGCTGTCTCAGAACAGGTGGGCACATGGCTTTGTTATTTCTGGCTTTTTTTCATTTTAATTGGTTCATTAAAATTGTAATATCTGGGGGTGCCATGTGAAATTTTAACACATGTATACCTTGGTAAACAGAAGAGACCTTTGGGTAAAAGTTGATTAATAGGCACTCTGCTATAGGAAAGAGGAAGAAATTCTTGTGTCCTGTTGCACAGCAGGGTGAGTATAGATAATGAAATACCAACCAAGAAAGGATCTTCATTGTTTTCACCATAAGAAGCTGCTCAGTGTCTGGGGAGGGAGCTTTCATAGCATGTTAGGATATGTGTTAGCAGAGGGTACAAGAAGGGAGCTGTCACTGGGAGGATCCTGGTGAGAAGATATGATTCAGAGGGTTGACAGCTCACGTGACTGTTGTCTAAAACATGGCATGCAAGGTTACCATAGGCCATTAAGTCATGGGAATTACTTCTTCAGCTGTTTTTATTATGACTATAGATTATGATCATCTTAGCATTATGATTATTGTGTTTATATTGATGGAGAGAAGGGTGATAGATGAGCAATCATGGTCTTTTATCAGAGCCGTGGGGTCCAAGAAGATAGACTGAAAGAAGCAGGAGAGGGTGGAGAGGGTGATGTGTCATCTCGGACCTCGAGGCGGCGGCTGAAACACGAGGCAAGAAGCGCAAAGGCAGATGGGCTATTCCGTTTTATGCTAGCATGCCCTGGTGCTGCTTGTCAGATAAAAGGCTGAAGGATGAGATGAGAAAACAACGATAGCTTCATTACTCTCACCTCAGAAAATAAACACGTGATTCATGATATGTCAATCACTGAAACATAATTATAAATTCTGGCATATAGGTACAGTTAAATATCATCAGCATTCATGGCACCATTGCTCCTTAGATCGATATACATTTTCTGTTGTGTAGAAAGTGTGTGTAATTGCAGTCAAGTCCTTCTTGATCCGGATGTTTCAAAGTAAACCAGATTACAACTTGTCATCTAACTATCAGATATACACCTTGACTTAATTTCTCCCTATAAATACACAAGAGAAAGAACTCTTTGTATCTGAAATTTGCCCACATTTTTTTTGTCAAAAATATGCTTCTACCACAGTATTTGTCCCATACTAGCAAAATTAACTTAATAAGTTCTGAGTTTTAGTACTCTATGGAACACAATTTCTGGTAGAATAAAGGAGTCAAAAATATTATTTATACCTGGATTTTGTTCAGTCATCATTACATTAACAAAAAAAAAAGGCTGTGGTGAGATGTGCCCAGGAGATAGATTATTTGTGTGGAGAACCCCACATTCTACTTATAATTAGCAATCTGAGTTGCAAAAATGCATCTAATCATGGATCTTAGGGAATGGCTTGGCCGAATGTTCAGCGACCTGGAAGACTCAAGATGAGAAGACTTGAAACAAGGAGGTCTTAGGAAAGAGCAAGTGGGTGCTCTTAGAGAAGAGGGCACAAAGCACAGACACCTGTAACTCTGTATCAACATCCCCACACCACCAGAAACCATCCAGTGCATATGAAGTACTAACCACAAAGTAAAAAGGATTACTTGCTGGTTGGCTTCTGCCCTGTGCTTTGCAATGATCGCATCAATGGAGCATCTAAATTACAAAACTAGAGACATCCGTGGGCCAAAAATCGATGCCTTCTCACTAGGAAGTGATCGAAGTAACACACTGCTAAATATCTGGCCAATAAGAAATAGCAGTCTTGAACTGAGTCTATGCTATTGTCTCGTAACAATTGAGATCGTGGGGCATCAGCTTCCCAAGTGCCTTAGCAGGGAGCTAGTTTGGAAATAGAGCAGCAGGGTCTCAAACCAGCACCCATATGGGATGCCAGAATCACAGGTAGAGGCTTAATCTGACATGCCCACAATGCTAGACCCAAAGCCAAACTTAAACCACAGCTTCAGCCCCTCTACCATCCTGGTTTTCTCGCTCCCTGCTGGGTTCCTCCTGAGATCATCCAACATATATATCATTTTCACAAACACCTCCTTTTAGCTTTGCTTTTAGGGAACCTCATCTAAGATAAAGCTCAAGCCTAGTTTTCTAAAAGATATCAGTACTTTGGTGCTGGGCTAAAGCTACGGGTGATTGAACATGAAGCCTCAGATTTCTAGGCAAGCGAGGCTCCCTATATGTTCAGATTGCAGTGGAGGATGGTACTGGGTATGAGGCCATGTCTAAAAATGAATGGGTTCTGATGCAGTAGACAGTGGCACTAGCTATGAGAAGCAACAAACGCAAACATTGGGGGCTGTACTGCAAGGTCAACGTTGTTAGTTTTTCTCTAGCCAAATCAGAAATCAACTCTGCAGATTGGAAAATATGCAGTTGAGGAAAAATCCTCTGTACTTAGAGGAACTGCCCTCATGAGATCAAGTCTATGTTTGGATCAGAGCAATCATGAGGGACTTATATGTTTTTTAATGAGAACCATCACACTCACCACTACATTCAGCCAATGCAATCAATGAATTGCCTCCCTGGGCTATTAGCCCCATGTTATAGGTTTCCAGTTATGACACCAAAATAAACATTTGCTTAGTGGAAGAATGAATCATAATATCCTCAATGGCAGCTTGTGTGTAGTTGAAGTGCCTGGAGCCTGCTTATCACTGTGTATAATGTTCGTTCATAAAGCATTCTGAGCTCGATAACGAGGCTCTGTGCACACAGGATACAGTTATCTCCTTCTAAAGGATGTGGGGATGATTAATCAGCTAATTCCACAAATGCTCCAGGGAGAAAGATCACTTTATAAGAACTAATTATGAATATCACACTGTGTATATGCCATACATTCATACCTCTGAAGTTGAATGGAATGTTTTTATTTATTGTTATAACAAGCATTTATTAGATTTGATATATCATTTCTTTTTTACATCACTTAACATTATATTGCAGTCCAAAATAGTTTCTGCGTATTACAGAAATAAGTCTGATTTTGCAGCCAGGGAATCAGCACTAACTGCTTCTCATTTGGGGTTTGTTCAACATTGCAGACAAAGCCTATTATCATTTAAAACACATTAAAAGTGGCAGAGTTCATATTCTTACTTTACTGTATATAAGATAGGAGACTGGGAAAAAAATCAGTAAAGCTCCCTGTCGTGCAATTTTCCCATTTGTTGAATAACAGGGTATATCTTATGGGAAAAAATGGTACAATGCAAGTAAAAATACCTGGCTCACTATTAACAACCAGTAATCATCCATGTAACTGCTAGTTTGAACAGGCATGAATGGAAGTGCATAACCAAAAATATTTTATATACCTTGTCAAATTTACTCATAAGAGGTATTTTACTACACCATTGCAGGTTGCACACTTTTTCTGCACACTCCAGGTTCGCTTATGCCACAATAAGCCTCAATTTAGCAATTAGGATGACCAATTCTATAGTAGTAGTGCCTCTTTTTTCCCAGCTACAACAGAGTTGGAGCATATTTAAAGCCTAGAGCCTGGCCTCCTAGCCATGAAACCAGATAATTCCTGCTTCAAATTTGGTTCTTTGACCCTGCAAATGGCCTTTCTTTCTTGGAAACCTGGTTCTTGAGCCATGGAATGTGACCTAGCAAGCATGCCCCATCTCTGCTCCAGGTGTGAAATTGGCCCCATGAGTTTAACTTAATGTTCCAGCGTGGAAGTGGATGCTGTAGGCAGGTGATCCTGCGTGGAGTCATGGAACATGCCCTCCATATATGGACTCAGCGACTCTGAAACTGAATGTCGTTCTTGCAAGCATGAAATATGGCCTTCCAGACAAGAGAAGTGGGCCTGCAATCACCATAGTCATGTACCATAATTCACGTGTACATGAAATTTGGCGTAATAGACAAGGGATCTGGATTTCATACGCACAAATCAACTTTCTGTTTCGAGGCATGGGAATTCAGTTGTGGAGACTTGCCAACAGTAATTAAGTGTCAGGTTCAAAGGCATGCTTGAGCTATGCTTAGAACTTGATTCTACAAATAAGGATCTTTCAATTCTGTATGGAATGTTAAGTCTGGAGGCTTGGAATCTGATCAAATAGTTAGAAAATCTTGTCTCTGATGTAGGTCTTTCAAGTGTGAATTTCTACTTTTCCAAGCTGTAAATCCAGTCTTACATTTAAGACCCAGCCACATACACGGATTAGAGCCTCAGGAATGGGAAATATCGCTTTCAGCATTAAATACAATCCTCTGCTTGTAGAAAGTGTCCCTTTAATTGTGAAACTTAGACCTTGAAGCATGGAAATATGACTTTCCAAACATTTACAGCAACTACAAATGGAAATTCTGCTTACAAATTCAATTGGTGTTTTAGGTGTGGAGCCTGAACTTATTTATGAACTATATAAACAAGAAATAGAGGTTGACAACTCAACATGTGAAACCTTGCCAATTGTACACTACAAATGTGTAGTTTCCATCTCAAAATATGGAACTTGGCTACAAGTGTAAAAACCGACCCTTTGTGCATGGACTTCAATGTCAGAGTATGATATCGGCCTCAATAAGCATGAACTTTCCACCCATGGAATCATAATCAACAATCATAGAGTCTAGTCTTATAATATTCACAAATGGAACCTCAATCTTCACATACAGAACAAGTGCTTACTCATACAACTTGACACTTCAGACTAGGAACTTTTGATGTGAGCTGCAGAATAAGTTATGGCCCATATCTGCCAAGCATGAAGTTCATAATATATGCATTCATGCTTCATATTCAAACAGACACAGCAAGTATACTCTAGTTTACCAAGGATAGACTGTAAAATACTATATGTAGGGCCCTGTACATCCTTCCTCCAGCATTCATGTCCCCTAAGGGCAGTCGTGTCCAGACATGGCCTCAGCATCCCAAGAGGCAGAGACTGTGGCATTCATGCTCCGGGTATTCACTCACCTTCCCATGGCTCAGCAGGATGATCCGCACCAGCACCACGTTGATGTGGGCCCCCAAAGACTCATCGTGGTAGATTTCATTGACCTGAAAGACAAGCAGCTTGTGGTCAGCAGTGCCCCCCGAGCATTGCCCTTCTGGGACCACCCCTTATATCTCCTTCCATATACCCCTCTCCTGCTTGCTGCCCTGGATGTCCCCAGAGTCACTCTCAAGCCCAGCCCCTGGAATTCTTCACCCGGAGCAAAAGCCTAGACAGGGAATCAATCCCTGTATTGGCTGTCTGAATTGCATCTTTCCTTCAAAACCTGGCAGCCCAGGTGGTGTGGCCCCGCCCCCAGCAGACAACACTGCATGGCTACTGCTATTGGCAGCTGTGGCGTCCCCACTTGGGTGGGGACAGAGCCTCTGCCAGGTCTTAGTGTCTCCTGAGTTACTAAGGACCACACATCCCAGGCAACACCATCACCCCTGGGTGTCTACGGTTGAGAGGGCTCCCAGAATCCAAATCCACCAACACTCACATTGCATATAAAATGTATGTGTTCTTTGCATGAAACCCACATACTTCATCTATTTTCTTTTTAAAGATTTATTCTTTTTTTATTGGAAAGTCAGATATACAGAGAGGAGGAGAGACAGAGAGGAATTTCTTCTGTCCCATGATTCACTCTCCAAATGAGCGCAAAGGCCGATGCTATGCCAATCCGAACCCAGGATCCAGGAACTTCTTCCGGGTATCCCACACAGGTGCAGGGTCCCAAGGCATTGCCTTCCCAGGACACAAGCTGAGAGCTGGATGGGAAGTGGAGCTGCCGGGATTAGAACCGGCGCCCATATGGGATCCTGGGGCATGTTCAAGGCTAGGACTTTAGCTGCTAGGCTATGCCGCCAGGCCCCATCTATTTTTCTTTAAGAGTTATTTATTTTCATATGTGAGGCAGAGTTAGAGAGAAGGAAAGACAGAGCTCTCTCAACTGATGGTTGACTCCCTAAATGGCTGTAATGGCTGGAGCTGGGCTGGTCCAAGCTGGCAATCAGTAGCCCCTTATGGGTTTCCCAGGCAGGTGTAGGGGCCAAGGACTTGAACCATCCTCTGTTGCTTTCCCAGGTGCATTAACAGGAAGCTGGGTCAGAAGTGGAACAGCTAAACTGGAGTCCATACGGGATGCTGGCACTGCAGGCAGAGGCTTAACCTGATTTGCCATGGCACCAGCCCCCTCCCTAAACTTTAAATCAGCTCCAGAATGACTAGCAATACCTGCTACAATGGCCTGGGCAACCTGTAGGTAACTGCTGTGCTGTATTGTATCATCAAGGGAATGAGGACAAAGCAAAGGTCTGTACAAAATGTGCAGTTCAGAGGCAACTGTTCTGAACTCATTTTTTTTAGGGGCCAGTGCTGTGACATAGTAAACCAAGCCTCTGCCTGTGGCACTGGCATCCTGTACTGACACCAGCTCAGCTTCCAATGCAGCTACCTGCTTATGGCCTGGGAAAGCAATAAAGCATGACCCAAGTCCGTGGGCCCCTGCATCCATATGGGAGACCCAGAAGACGCTCCTGGCTCCTAATCAGCTCAGCTCAGCTCTGGCCACTGCAGTCATGTAAAGAGTAAACCAGCAAATGGAATACCTCTGTCTGTCTGTCCTTCTTTCTATGTAATTCTGCTTTCCAAATAAAAATAAACTTTTTTTTTTTAAAGATTTATTTTTTATTATTTTTTCATTGGAAAGGCGGATATACAGAGAGGAGAGACAGAGAGGAAGATCTTCCGTCCGATGATTCACTCCCCAAGTGAGCGCAACGGGCCGATACTATGCCGATCCGAAGCCAGGAGCCTCTTCCGGGTCTCCCACGCGGGTGCAGGTTCCCAAAGCCTTGGGCCGTCCTCGACTGCTTTCCCAGGCCACAAGCAGGGAGCTGGAAGGGAAGCGGGGCTGCCGGGATTAGAACCGGCGCCCATATGGGATCCCGGGCGTGCAAGGCGAGGACTTAACCACTTGCGCCACCGCGCCGGGCCCTAAAAATAAACTTTTAAGAACTAAAATGAACTCATATCTTAAAAAGGATTAATTTTATCTATTTTAATGACAGAGTGACAGAGAGAAAAAAAAAAAAAAGACCTCTCCATATACTGGTTTACACCCTAGATGGCGAAAGCCAGAAGCCTGGAACTTTTTTGGAACTCCCTATTGGGTGGCAGGAGTTCAGGCACTCAGGCTCTAAATGTCCCAGCTGCTCCACTTATGATCTAGCTTCCTGCTAATGGCTCCAGGAGAACCAACAGAGGATGACCCAAGTTCCTAGGCCCCAGCACCCATGGGGGATGCGGGAGACCCAGAGAAAGCTCTTGGCTTCAGGCTAGTCCAGAGCTGGCTCTTGGGGACACTTGCGGGATAACCAGTGAAGAAAGAACAATCTCTCTCTTGCACTCTCTCTCTTGGTTTGGATCTCTGGTTTTCAAGCATTGCTGAGTGGAACCCGAGCTGTGAGTGGTTCCAATGGAGCAGTGATGGCGTGGCAGCATTACTGAGGAGAAGGTGCAGGATGAGGGTGGGTGATTGGTAAGGATGGTGCTCGAGCCACAGCACCTAGGGGCCACTGTCATGGGGTCGTCTTTGCTATAGAGATCCCTAGATTGGTAAGAGGCTGGCAGCTTTGCTTTGGGCAGCTCTCCCAATGTGGGTCAGGTCTTGGGTCAGTCCAGGCTGGGCCAGTTCATAGCACCCACTAGGAGATGTGAGAACCAGGATGGGGTACAGGACAGGCTGAGTTGGGTCACAACACAAGCCAGTGCACATTTGTGCCAGAACTAGGGGCAGGCCAGGTCAAGCCAGGCTACATGGCAGGCCACTCCAGGCTTGGCCGTAGCACCCACCACCACATGTAAGACCTCAGGTGGTGGAGGAAAATCCCAGTAGGGGTACTGCAGGGGCTCTCCCGCTACACCAGTGTACCCACTGCTGAGCAGAAGACCTAGGACATGGGGCTGACCAGACTTGGCAGGGTTACAACACTTGTTGGCCTGCATTGAGCTGGGTTAGCAGGAGTCAGACTGGGTCAACTGGCTATATCCACTGGGGCATGCATGAGCCAGAGTAAGTGCAGGCTGCTCAGGCTTTGCTGCAGCATCAGTTGGCATGCTGGGAATGGAAACAAATCCTGTGAGACTACACTACAGAACCACCTGGAAAGTGCAAGATCTGGGGTTGGAAGCAGGCCTAATTGGGACACTTGGATACCCCTCTATTGGGGTACAGCTCCCACCAGTGAACATAAGAACCAGGGCTGAGGCAGGCCTTACCGGACAGGTGGTTGCACCCATTGGCATAAGTAAGGGGGGACAGTAGTACCGGTCAAGTGAACTAGGCTGCAGCTCGCACTCACGTGTACAAAAGTCAAATGGGATGCGGGATAGACTAGACAGTCTGCTGCACATGCTGGCAAGCACAGGAACTAGGTTTGGGGATGGGCCTGGTGCGGTTATTAGGGGTTGCTCTGACTAGGCTACAGTTCCCATTGATTTACATGAAGGACAAGTGTGTGGTGCACAGGGATGGGCTGGACCACAGTATCCATTGCTTTGTGTAAGAGATGGGCTGCAGACAGAATTGACTCAGAAACTGCAACCACGGGGGGCGGGGGGGGAGGGGGAAGTGGTGCTGAGGTGGATGAACAACTGAGCCAGACTCCACACTGGCTGACACACAAGACTCGGGTCTGGGCTTACCACAGATAAGGTTGCTTTGGTGACTTCCTCCTCATACTCCCCACACTCCCAGACTGGACCACTGGACTCAAAACACCAAGCACAGGGAAAATCACAGCATCTGTGGTCTGACCGTGGAAGGCATGTGTTAGAACTGGGCACCCACACTTGCTAATGGCAGTGCAGTGGATGACATGCCTAGAAGCACATGATAGACATGACAGCTAACTGAAATCCTCAGAGGGCGTCTGGTACCATGGCAGAGGATGGAAGACAGAATAAATTGGACAACTCTCCTGGTCAACCTTTGACAGCAAGTATCCAGGCAAATTGAGTCTCTAAGGTGAACTATTTCAGCCAGTGGACCTTGGAAGGATTTCCTCAACCTTGGAGCAATGAAGTCAACAACATGTCAGAAGTGTTGAAATCACTAGAGCAGTACCCTTGGGACATGCTCCACATCAGGGACCCTGGGATGACATCAAGTGGCCGTCCTGCATCCCCAGGGTGCTGATGCAGTTGGGCTGCTGGAAGTGGCCCTCCCCCCTTCCTTCCCATTTGACCAGGTACAGGAAGAAAACAAAACAAGAAAAGAAAGAAAGAAAGAAAGTGTGAGAGAGAGACAGTGAGAGAAAGAGACAGAGACAATGACAGAAAGAAAGAAAAAAGGAATAAACAAACACTTGGAAAATATGGTCTCATCCACTTTCCCCTGTTCCTTTGACCACACCACAATCAGCAGTCCACAGGGGTATACATCCTTTTCAACTATGTAAACATCAGCAAAATAAAATTAAAAAGAAAAGAACACAAAGATCTAATGCATTGCTGCCGTTTTGAATGGATGAGTAAGGATTGGCAAGGATGTTGGAGGCTTAGGTGGGAGATGCACTCTCGAAAGGTGGAAAATAATTAAGAAAGTTTTAATAAGCCTGGCATGGGAGCCTATTGGCTAAAGTCCCCGCCTTGAATGCACCAGGATCCTATATGGATGCCACTTCATATCCTTGCTGCTCCACTTTTCCTTCCAGCTCCCTGCAGTTGAAGATAGACAATTGTGGACACCTGGAGAATGAACCAACAGATGGAAGATCTTTGTCCCTTCTTCTCTTTGTAAACCTGACTTTCCAATAAAAAGCATACAGAAAATTTCTTTTTAAATTTGCTCTTTTTTATTGTAAAGTCAGATATACAGAGAAGAGAAGAGAAAGAGAAGAAGATTTTCCATCCAATGATTCACTCCCCAGGTGACCACAACCACCAGTGCTGTGCAAATTCAAAGCCAGGAACCAAGAACTTTCTCCAGGTCTCTTATGAGGGTGCAGGGCCCCAATGCTCTGGGCTGTACTCAACTGTTTTCCCAGGCCACCAGCAGGAAGCTGGATGAGAAGTGGGGTTGCTGGGATCAGAACCAGTGCCAATATGGGATCCCAGCATGTTCAAGGCAAGGACATAACTGCCTCGCCACTTCCCCTGGCCTAAAATAAATAAATCTTAAAAAAAAGAAAAAAGGCAAAAAAGATACTCCAGGTAAATAGAAATTGAAAATGAGCAGGGATTAACCATGCTTGTCATAAACAAAGTAAACTTTAAGACAAAAATGGTTAACGAGACCATGATCCCATACAATGATGATGAAATCAATTTAACAGACAATATAACCACTGCAAATACATATACCCCGAATGCTAGAGCACCATTTAATAAACAAATTTAGTAGATCTAAAAGGAGACTTAAGTTGTAATAATACCAGGTTAATTCAAACTCCACTTTCATCTATGAACAAATCAACAAGACAAAAAAGTCAACCAAGAAATAACAAACTCAATACACACATAGACCAAGTGGAGCCTGCTCCTGCCAGCAGAGCCAGTAATTTGGACAGGGAGAGGGTCTGAGGATGAAGCACCAAGAGACCAGTCATGGTGGAAGTCTCTCCAAAGCCTCCCTTTTTCCTCCTTTCAGTATTCTTTCCCCCCAAGTTCTTTAGCCAGACAACAGCATGCCAATGAGTCCCATTAGTCCAGGTGCTTTTAGCCACAAGCCCATTTCCTGTTACTGCTCAGCTTAACCAGTGCTAATTAACTCCTTCCCCACAACAGACCCAACACACTTGTACACTATCCCACCTCACACTTGTAGAATACACATCCTTTTCATCAGCACATAGAACACTAAGACTGATCATACAGTAGGCCACAAAACAACTCTCAACAACAATTTAAAAAGACTGGCTCCTGTCTTAGGTCTGGCCAGGCTCAGCTTTTACAGCCACTGGGAGAGTTAACAAGTAGATGGGATGGAAGATCTCTTCATCTTGGCCACTCTCTCTGTCACTCTTCATTTCAAATACATACAATTAATCATTTTTTAAAAAGTCACTTGAATGAGACACAAAAGAAAAACACTGGTTGCTACAGAAATAGAATCACTCAGAACTATTATGAACATATACCCACAAATCAGGAAATTTGGAAGAAACTGATAAATCTACAGGAACATATAATTTGCCTAAATTGAGTCACAAAGACAGAGAACACTTGAACAAATACTGGTAATGCAATAGCTCAGGACCAAATGCCTTCACTAATGACTTCTCCCAAACCTCCAAGAAACAGCTAATACCAGTTCTTGTCAAACTGTTTTGAATTACTCCAGTAGTATTTTGATAGGCCAACAGGCTCTTTCTTGGCTGAGAAAGAACTTGATGAGAACAATTCCAGTCACAATAGCTACAGAAATACACACAGGGGCAGGAGCAGTGAAGCAGGCTGATCCTCTGCTAGAGCACTGGCATCCCATATGGGCACTGGCTCATGTCCTGGCTGCTTCACTTCCCAACCCAGTGACTGGGAAAGCAGTGGAGAATGGCCCAAGTCCTTGGGAACCTGCACCCATGTGGGAGACGAGGAAGGAGTTCCTAGCTCCCAGCTTCACAATGGCCCAGCTCTGGCCACTGCAGCCATTTGGAATGGAAACTCTATGTAACTCTGCCTTTCCAAGTAAAATAATTTCTTTCAAAAATACACACAAAAAATACATAAATACATACACACCCTGGCACAAATTTAAGGATGAAAAGAGATTTGCAACGAAAATTAAGAAAACACTGAAGAAAAACCTGAAGATACCCAACAACAAAATGAAAACAATGCCAAAGAAAGAAAGAAAGGAAGAAAGGGAAAACCCATGTATCATCACTCTGTCCCAGGCTCTGCACTGGCAGCAAGTCTGACTCAAGAGATGAAGCCAGCAAGCAAACAGTCACTCTGATGTTGGAAGGAGGTCACTATGTTAGCCACCATGTTAAGCGCTAGCTCCCTAAACCACATTTTTTTTAAAATGATGAAGTTACACAGTTGATTGGGGTGGGAAGGATTGAGGGTTAGGGGAAAGTGGGTGAGATCATTGTTTGCAAGTTTCCTTTTCTTCCTCCTGTATCTGGGGGCAAGGGAGGAGATGAGAAGAGAAGCTGCACTCAGCCTTCCAACTGCCTCAGTACCTGGGGTGGGGAATGGCCACCCAATATCATACCAGGGTCCCAATGGGAAGCATGCTCTGAAGTTTCTGCTCAAGCGGTTTCAATAGTTTTGAAATTATGTCAGTTTTGTTGCTTCAAGGATGAGGAAATCTGTCCAAGGACCATTGGCTGACACAGTCCACCTTAGAGTTTCCATTCGCCCAGATATATGCTGTCAACACTTGGCTGGGCTAGTTGTACAGTTTGCTTTACCCTCCTTCCTCTGCTATGGTAGCAGATGTCCACTGCACTTCCCAGTGGATTGTCATATCCTCCATGTGCACCTGGGTATGCCATCCATTACTCTGCCTTAGCTATTGTGGAGGCCCACTTCTGATACTTGCACTCCACAGTCAGTCCACTGGTCCTAGGATTCAACACACGGTTGGAATTCTGAGTGCAGTGGCTCAGTTGGGTGAATCCCACAGAGATTTCGTCTCTGCTGAACCCAGACCTGACTCTGTGTGCGCTTGCCAGTACAGGGTCTGGCTTAGTCTGACAACACATCAGCTTGTGCTGGGTCAGTTCTATGTCAAGCCCACCTCTTACACAAACAAATGGATGCTTCATCCAGCCCAACCCAGCCCACTACACATTTGATCCTCAAACATACCAGCAGGAACTGTAGCCTAGTCAGAGTGACCCCTCAAAATCACCATCAATGTACTTCTCACTATGTGCAGCAGTCTGCTCCTGTCTGACACCATCCCATTCAGCTGTCACATATGTAATGGGCGTTTTAGCCTAGTTCAACCAAACAAACACCGTTATCCAGCCCACACTCATCCCAGTAGATGCCACTGCTTGGCCAGACAGTCCCACCCGCAGCCCTGCTTCTCATGCTTACCTGTGGGAGTCGCAGCTCATTAGAGAGGAGCCCACAGTTTCCCTACTGGGAGATCTTGCACTCTCCTGGTGGTTCTGCAGTCTAGCTTGACAGGAGTTGCCCCTAGTCCCAGCATTTGCCAGCCCTGACTTTGTGGCAAAGCCCGGGCAACCTGCACTTCTTCTGGCTCATGCATGCACAGTGTTTATAGTCACCCGGCCTTGCTGCCTTTCCCAGGTCACATGCAGCCCTATGGGTATTGGTCTGGCCTGGTCTGCCCTCAGTCCCAGTTCTCACTCCCACCAGTAGGAACCCCTGCTGCCACCCTATCATGCTAACCCACCTCTCCCTGGTCTCACATGTACTGGCGGGTGCTGCAGCCTGGTATGGCATGGCCTGCCTCATCTTGGCATTTGTCAGCTGATGCTGCAGCCTGGCCTGGCATGTTTTGTGCCTAATTCTAGCTCATGCTGGTGGGAACTGCAGCCTAGCCTAGCCTAGCCAGCCCTCAGTCACAATCCTAAATGTGAACTGGCTGCTGTTACAGCCCGACTAGGACTGTCCTGCACCCTGCCCTGGTTCTCAGATCTGCCAGTGGGTGCCAAGAACGGGTCCAGCCTGGCCTGCCCCATATCTGAGCTACAGGTATACTGGTGGGTACTGTAATTGGGCCTGGGCTGGGCTGCTCCCTGCCCTGGTTCTTGTGCTTACCTGCAGGGACTGTGTCCTGACAGAAGTGTTCCCCAAACTCCTCTATCAGATCTCCTCCGAGTTCTTTCAGAAAAGCAGAAATTACACCATCACATGTGTGTTCTCAAATAGTCGGAGGTGTCCTGGCTTGAAGAAAAGATGAGACTTGCAGTTAGATGATGATACATTAGGAGACCTTAAACCAACCTGAAACAGGAAAAAATTGATATAGTGGCAGACTACGCATACTTCATGTATGATTAGATGAGAGCATAATATGCAACAGAGAAGTTAGGATAAGTTGACTTGAATTTGAAAAAGAAAATCTCAAGGAGTTACTTTGGGATGAAACCATCATCCTCACTGCTAACACTCTCCTTAGAGATCCACACAAATGAATCATTGCAACTAAGGAAATCCAAATGCATGGGGTATCTTAATGCATTAATCAACAACATCCTCAGGTTGTTGATTAAACAACAAAAATCTTTCCAAAGCAGCTGGAAGATGGCCCCAGTGCTTGGGCCCTACCACCCTCAAGGCAGACCCTGATGAAGTTCCTGACTTGGGCCTGGTCCAGCCCTGATCTTTGAGCCATTCGGGAACCACAGGGCAGCTGAAACATTTGTCTGTCTCTCCTGCTCTTCCTGCAATTCTTTTTTTTTTTTATTATGTTAGCTTTTTTATTATTTTATAATATATTTCAAAAAATGACCTTACAGATGTCTTATCTGCTCTATAAGACCTGGAATAAAAGAACACTTAGGATTAGAATACAGAAACATAAGCTGTAATACTCACTTGTACTGAACCATTACTGCCAAAGGGTAAGTATGTTTTTTAAATAAGCAGATGTGCAGCTATGCAAAATAAAATACAATCTTGTTAAAACAGAACAGTAAACTTGACTTTAATGGCTATAGAAAGGAGGTGGTTTTGTTTTCTTTCTTCAACACATCTGGTTCTGGCAGCAAGTTGCATTACACATTTAAAGCAGTGTGTGCCCTGAAAGCTCATAGCTTCTGTTTGTGCGTATAACTTGGGTCAGAGACCAGACACATGGAAAAGCACTGTTCTCAACACCCTCAACATCTCTCCTTCCCGGAGGTCACAATGCTAACCAACTCAAGACTTTCCTTGATGATGGTACTTAGTAATTGTTTTACTCCAGTTAACACTGGATGCTTTAATATTCTCTAAAAGAGAAGTGATGGAAGCGTGTAGAAACCCTCCAGGGTCCAATTTTCACTTCCCATTCCCCAAGTAGTAAAATAGCAGCTCTACATGTTATAAAAAAGGAGAGATCATTTCAATTTCTTATTATTTTTTAACCATAGTAACTTTACAATGCTTTTAGATTTAGTTGAATTTCCAAAATGAAAATGTCAGTTGTCAAATATTTTAGGAATTTATTAAAGTATTACATACAATTGATTTCCTTTTAGCTACCCCTCCCCCTCAAAAAAGTATATATGGTGTATGTGTGTGCATTTACTTATCTTACCTTAACTGAAGTTCTCTTTTTCTGGTTGGACATGAGAAACCAGTTTAGGCAACCAATGCTTGCTTTTATTTCTATTAGAAGCAATAATTCAGATCCTTTTTCACTAAATATGACTGCAGCATTTTCATAATAAAATGCACAAAAGGCAATACCAAAAAATGCCTTCTGAACAGGCTTCTGCCAGGCAACCCACGTAAGTTAGACTCTACCAAAGTGGCACTACGACAATATAGGCATCCAGTTTCTTTTCCTTTTTTCAAATTTATCAGTTATTTACCACAATTATTTTGTCTAGTGGGAGACAATTTCATCCTGGACTTAACTCTTAAGAGTTGACATAAACCAAAACTGGACAGCAGTCAACTGGAATCACATTCCAATGGTCTCCAAACATACTTGGCTAAAACACATCTTTTCTTTTCCTTGACTGATTTTGCATTAATTTTATTAAACGTATAGCAAATAACATTGCAAAGTTTTTCTCAGAGCTTTTTCTTAGCGGACACTCTCTGCAATTCTTGCCAACAAGTACCTGGTGAACTTGTAGACAGCGCTGTTCCTGGCTCCCCAGCAGGTGGCGGCCCCGCGCCCTGGCCGCACGCCCGCTGCATCCCGCCGGCAGCACAGAGGCTCGCGCGGCCCGGGAGCGCGCTCGCCCCGCAGCTCGGGCGGCTGGCAGGCGGGCTGGCGCCGGTCGCGTCGGCCGGCAGCAGGGCCCATGTGGAAGCTCCTCCCGGCCGCGGGCCCAGCCCGAGGGAAGGACAGAGAAGGGACAGAGGGCCCGGGTTCGGAGGAGCTCCAACGCGGGGAAGGAAGTTGGGGAGGGTCGCTTCCGGTCCGGTCCCCTTACCTTCCGGGGCACGGCGGAACGGGAAGGAAACCGGGGGTCGGGCACGCGCGTGGTGGTCCCGGCTGCGCCGTGGCGGGGAAGGCCGGCTGTCCTCGGCCCCGGGGTTGGGCGGGTGGACGCCCGGCCCTGTCCCGCGCTGTGCAGTGGCCGTGGGACCCCGGCGCTGTGCAGTGGGCATGGGCGGTGGGGCGGCTGGCCCTTCGCTGAGCCCTGGCTGAGGTGGCTGAGGAGAAACAGGTGCACGGAGAAGCTTGCTGTTGTTTCAGACGCGTTTCCGTGCTGTCAGCCAGAGGGGACAGCCAAGACTTTTCCTTTTTGAAAGAGACCAGAATCTTGTATCTCCGAGTTCACTGCCCTAGATGTGCCCAACGCTGGGGCTGGTCAGGCCCAAGCCAGGAACCCCGGGATGCAAGGGCCTCAGTTGCTGTCTGTCAGAGTGCGCCTTGGCGGTGCTGGGCTGGACCCCCTGCACAGACCTGGGATGCTGGTGTCCCAGGGGAGCTGCAGCAAAAGCCAGGCCACTTCACCCCGCCCCTTTCTTGTGTGTCTGCACTTCCCTAGTGGAAGTTGCTAGTTGCCCGCCTGGTGTTTGTGGTCCTTATTGGCTGATAAAAGAAAGGGTAAGCCGGGAAAGCCATGATTACCTGTGTGCTCAGGGTGTTCACATTGTGATTGGGAAAAAAAGGGTCTCCCGAGATGCAGTGTTGACTGGCTATGTAAAGAGGTTTAAAGAAAAAAAAAAAAAGAAGGTGATTTCTTTATTTCACTTGAATAAGAGCAGGAAAGACAGAGAAGTCTTCCATTCTCGGGATGGCCTTCATGGCCGGAGCTGGGCCAGTGCAAAGCTGGGAGCCAGAAGCTTCGTCTTGTCTCCCATGTGTATATAGGGGTGCAGGAAACTTGGGTCATGCTCCACTGCTTTCCCAGCCCAAAGCAGGGAGCTGGATGGGAAGTGGAGCAGCTTGGGGTTGAACCAGTGCCCACATGCGAAGCCAGCACTGCAAACTGAGAATTAATATGATCTGGCCTCTGAAGGACTTTTGTAAACACCAACATAGGCATCCCTATGAACTTGCACCAGTGCAAGGCCAGCCCATAAAGATTTCAGTTTGTCTCGTGGCTCTCAGAGTTTCTGTGGATGTGTGGAAAGAAGACAGACCTGAGACAAATTGAGTTTGGCACAGCATACCTGAGGAAAGGCTTCATGAATCAAGGTGTGGCCCGAGCCAGTGGAGGTTGAGAGAGCAGTACCCAACAGTCCAGCAGACGGTAGGAGGTGACTTCCAAAAACAGCGGGATTGGTTAGTTGCAGCTCACTGTTGGCCTGGTCTGAGTGTGCAGTGAGAAGGCATTTGCCCTGCAGGACCTGGTCTGAGTAGCTGACAGGCTGAGACTTAGCCATCTGTTACAGGGATAGCACTGTTCAGGGCAGACATTTGGCACTGTGTAGCAGGGCTAGCCTGGGAGTCCTGTTCAGCCTGTCCCCAGCTGTTGGGTAAAGTGCACCCTTGGCCACAGCTCAGAGTTGAGTTACTGCCACCTGTGGGCAGACCTAGCTTGAGTCCAGGGCTCAGATACCCTGGATGTTTGGGCAGTGAGTCAGAACGTGTATCTCTGTCCCTCAAATAAGTAAAGTAAGGTAAAAAATTACAAACAAAGAATAGGGGCTGGTGTGATGGCTCAACTGGCTAATCCTCTACTGTTAGCACTGGCATCCCATATGGGCACTGGTCCTTATTCGAGCTGCTCCACTGCCCATCCAGCTACCTGCTTGTGGCCTGGGAAAGCAGTCCAGGACGACCCAAAGCCTTGGGACCCTGCACTCAATATGAGAGACCTGGAAGAAGCTCCTGTCTCCTGGTCTCAGATCGGCACAGCTCTTTTGTTGTGGCCGTTTGGGGAGTGAACTAATGGATGGAAGCTCCAGTCAAGTTCATATTGGGACTTTACTTGGGATTTCAGTAAATGTATACTTTGGGAAAGTATTAATTCCTTTCACTGTTATTCCTTGAGAGAAATTAATGTAGGTGATCTTTTGATATTCCTCAATAAGGGTTTAATAGAAAATGGGAGTTTAATTTATGTAAAACTGATGAACATTGAAATAGCAAAGTGTTTTCTTGACACATCATGAATTTTATCCTATATAATGTACACATTTATGTATGTGTGTTTGTGTCTCATGATTTTAATCCTCTTAGAACCATACAGACTTTTGACTGGCACTGAGTATGTCATTAGAAGGAAAAACTGTGCTATTCTAATTGAAGATGATCAGTCGAAATCAGTGGAAATCATGCAGTGTTAACCGCTAATTTTGCTATGACCAACTTGGTATGTTCCTGATTGTATTTTGCTAGCTTGCAGTGAGAGTTGAAATCACAGTATATTGCCTTGATGTGTGAGAGAGAGAGCTGTTTGAGCATTTTATGCTTTTGTTTCAGTGACTTAGAAACTTGGAGAAAGTAGGTTGTATTTGTATTTGTTTACTTAACAACATTGACTGTTCCGTGGTGAGAGTTATTGGGCTTAGCTGTGATACATTCATGATGCTCGCTCTTAAAGAGAGTATGTGACTGATGGACACAAAGTCTGGGTGTGTAAAGGGAGGCTCCGCAGTGGGAATGACGGTTTTCCCGGGAAAGACAACTGTTGCTTCTGATCCACAGCTCTTTTGAATGGCTTGGAAGGTATTTGTTAGCTTTCACCAGAACCACGGGTGATGAGAATGATAAAAATATATGAATAAATACGTTCAAAATCTTCGTGGTAGGAACAAGAAAGTAAGCAGTTAGTTTGAACAAATGTGACAAATGCACAGGTGATGGATTAGTTTACTGGCATTTAGGTTTTGTGTCTATTTGTGTTGTAGAAAAGCATTATTATAGAAGTTGCAATAGAAAAAATAAAATTATTACCAAAAGTCAGAACCTCTAGGCTTTATGCCTTGTTTTCATTCGCCCAGTGTTTACCATGTGCTTTTGATAATGTAAACAAAACAAAACGAAAACTTAGGACTGAAGCTGTCATGTTATGCATGAAGCAAACTGCTGCCAATCATAAAATTCTCAAGTGTGTGAAATGGAAGGGTTGGGAAAGTCCCAACTGATTTACAGAAATAAAGAATAATGTGTGTTCCAAGAGTTATAATTCTGAAATTCAGAGATTTTTTTAAAGGGAGATACTTATGTTAATTGCTAATTAGACCTTTGAAGGCAGCCAGAACAGTAGCTGTCATTCCCTGTGGTGGCAGGATATGCAGCTGTTTATTATTTTACCCTTTTCAAAAGTTATCAAATGTCTCCTGTGAATCGTTTCCCCCTGGATTGTATGTGCTTGAGCTGTAAAAGACTTGTAATTACTTCTCTAATTTTCAGAGTCAAACTGATGAAATCCCTGTATTGACAATCAAAGATACTTCTAAATATGGTACCTTTGTTAATGAGGCAAAAATGCAAAATCACCTTCCCCAAACTTTGAAGACAGGGGATAGAGTCACCTTTGGAGTGTTTGAAAGTAAATTCAGGTATGGATTTGTTTATTTAATTTTTGTTGTTAAAGATTTACTTTTACATGAAAGGCAGATGAACAGAGAGAAGGAGAGACTAGGAGATCCTGCCTTCACTCCCAAGTTGCCACAACAGCCAGAGGTGGGCCAATCTGAAGCCAGGAACCAGGAGCCTCTTCTGAGTCTCCCACATGGCTGAGGAGTCCCACAACTTTGGGCTGTCCTTGACTGCTTTTTCAGGCCACAAGCAGGGAGCTGGATCCACATTTGGGAAGCTGGGGTATGAACTGTTGCCCATATGGAATCCTGGTGGAAGCTTAGTGTACCAAACCAATGGCACTGGCCCCACACTTTTTAAATTAGATTAAAGTGGACAATTTTATCTCACAACAATTGAATTTTAAAGCAAAGATAAGGATTATAAGGTGACAGTATAATTGACTTCCCGTTTAGCACAGTAGTGAACTCTGTGTGGTTGGTATATTTTGTGGATCACAGATGGGGGGTGACAGGTGAGTAAAAGTTTGTGTTAGTCCCTGTGAGTTGTGATAGGAGCCTCGTTTGTTTGATGCTTCATAAGTTAAAATGTAATGTTGATGTTGGCCATGTCTTTTCTTCTTTGGGAACACAAGATTTAGGAGGTAAGAATTTCCTAAGTTACAAATTTATAATGTGTCAAAATTAAACGAATAATATGTTGTAAGCTTAAAGTTGTAAAGTATTGTAAAGTTGTAAAGTCTTTCTAACTGTGATAACGTAACTTTATTGTCATTCACAGGGTAGAGTATGAGCCTTTGGTTGCCTGTTCTTCTTGTTTAGATGTGTCTGGGAAAACTGCTCTAAATCAAGCTGTGTTGCAACTTGGAGGACTCACTGTGAACAACTGGACAAAAGAATGTACTCACCTTGTCATGATGTCAGTGAAAGTCACCATTAAAGTAAGTTGAACTGTGTTCCCATATTAAAACAAGTTCTGGGACCTTGAGTGAACTCACCACAGCACAGAGTTAGCACCATGTGTCTCTTCTGTCAGATTGTCTTCCTCCAGTCTCTGACATTGTCTCATGGTCTCATGCTCCCTCAGTTAAGTTGTAATCACACAAAGATTTCTTTGCTGTATCTTTAAAGCCCTGAGATGTATAGATATGTACCTTCCAAAGATGCTGACTAGTCATTAAAGCAGTGATGTATTTTGGTATATTTTCAGGTTTTGCATTTTCATCAGATTTGATATATCCAAAGGTAATTGAAGAATGGCATTTAAGATGTGATTCGTTAAACAGGCTGACTGTGCAAAAGATATGTGGGATTGTTTTAGGCTGAAAAGCAACAAATACTTTGATTCCTGTGTTTGAAGATGCAAAAACCTTTTGTTATAATTAATTAAATATTAGTGTTATATTCTAATTTATACATAAATGGCTCTTATGTGTGTACATATATGTGTATGCAATAGCTGTCAAAGAGAAAGGCTCACTGCCCAGATTGAACCTGAAGTTAAATTTGTACCATGGTGAAGTTACCCTGAACAAAGATAGTTCCCTCTTGGAAAATTTAGGACATTGATTTTTTTGCTGCTGCAGCAAGACTAACTTAAAAAATACTCATGTTGATAAACTCACAGGTAATAGATTCATAAAACATTTGTAAAACCAAAATTCATATGCATGAGGACCTGATATTTAAATGTTAGCTCAGCATAATCCCCCTTAAGATATTAAGTTACTCAA